AATCAACATTAGGGTGTCAAGAGTGACAAAATTTGATGGATACATGCAGTTGTTGGACCACACTTCATCCACCCCATTTGAAAATATAGTTTCCTTGTTATAAAGTTCAGATATTTCATACAAAAAAAGTGGAGTATTGATGAAGCAAAGAGCTCCATGGCAAAGAGGCATTGCTTCACAGCTCTTTTTGTTTTTGCCTCAGTGAAATCCATCTATTTAGAAATATAGACAACAGTTCCATTCATAAAATAAAATGAATTGAATTGTTGATTTTTAGTTTATGAAACTGATCCTGATGCTTTGGATAACTGTTACTGAGTTTTCTATATTTTAAAAGTTCTTGTCAACACAGTAAAAATTATCAAAATAACAAGATTAATTTGTACAATATAATCAAGAACAAGGTAAAATAATCCGGTGTAAAAACAGGAGGAAAATTTTTAATCCACACACTAAAAGAGCCTTGTGGTGCAGTCGTTAAACGGCTGTACTGCAGCCAAAACTGTGCTTACGACCTGGGGTTCAATCCCAGGTAAAATGAGTACCCAGCTCGCTGGGGGGGGGCAATGTGTAGCCTGCATAATTAACTTATAAACCGCCCAGAGAGTGCTTGAAGCACTATGGGGCGGTATATAAGCAGCACGCTTTGCTCTTTTTTTTTTTGCTTTACAAGCTTGGCAATATAAAAACAGAGCTCACCTGGAGTTTAAAAAGAATTGGAAGATAACTAGAGATTCCATCAACTCACCTTGGTTCCTCCCATATTCCACCAGCCAGCCAGCAATACGGACAATGTCTTGTAGGACACTTTCAGGAAGGTGTTCTAAGGTCACATCTTCTTGGGTTTCCATTTCATCATCCAATGTAATGAGATCCAGGATGAGGATGGGTGGAACTGGTTTGGAGTGTCGAGTCATAAGGCTACGAAATTCAGATTCCAATGACTCCTTTCCCTTCTCAAACAATGATTTCTGGGGGAAACAACATGTGATTATTAGATATTGTGCTATACTCAGAAGCTGCTAAAATACAAGGACACAGTTGCGCTATCAAGCTGCACTCCAGAAGGCTAAGAGTACTATCTGTACATGCCTAGTGGTCGAAGGCAGAATAGCAGCTTCCCATTAGTTTCTATGGACGGAAAAGAGCAGATACGGATCAAATGGTTCTCAATGCATTCCTATGGGAAATGCAGATTTGACCTGAGAACTTTTTGACTTGAGAACCGCCTTCCAATACAGATCAAGTTCTCAAGTCAAGACCCCACTGTACTCAGAAGCTGCTAAAATACGAGGACACAGTTGCGCTATCAAGCTGCACTCCAGAAGGCTAAGAGTACTATCTGTACATGCATCAAAATGCGTCTCGTTCTAACAGAACTGCATTCTTTCACCTCCTGGATTAAAGAAAACAGTTTAAGGATTTGACCTGAGAGATTTTTTTATGTGAACCAATATTAGTGTGCATTCCACATTTTTCCTTCTTTAACATCAGTGTACTTGATATAGTTGACATCCTATAGCCTTCTCAAAGAATAAGAAGATACTGCACGTACATGAGCACCATTTCCCACAGAGATATCTTTAATGCAGAGCTTTAAAGGCAAAATGCGAGTTTTCACAGAGGCCCCTTCTGTAAGGAAAAATTCTCAGAAATGTGACCGTGCACATATATCCTGCTGGATCATAACTTTGAAAGACATCATGACATTCTTAACACTTGCTTAAGAAAGGAACTAAACTGATAATGCCCAGAAAACTGTGAAGACAAGGAAAATGATGTAGTCAGAGGCCCAATGCTCAAGTGCAATACATACCACCCTATTCAGTTCTGGGCTGTCAGGATTATTATCTTGGAAATATTCCACAGCCTTCTGGATTTTAGCCATGCAGCCCAAATATTCTTCCAGTCTCCCTGTAGGACTGCAAAACAAAGCATTGTTGGTTCAAGAACAAAATCAGATCAATTGGCTCACTTGGTAAGACTAGCAACATCAACAATTTGCCACAGAATGTAAGAAATAATCCTTAATTACCCTCCTTTTTTTAGCCTACAGCTTTCTCTCACTGATCAAGCTTAAGAGCAAAAGGACAAAGACAACCAGCACACATTACAGCCCATATTTTTTCAAAGCCTATTCATTTGAACCACTAGGTTGCATTCAGATTTATTTAAGGAAACTCAGGGTGTGATCAGACCAAGAGAAAGGGCCGCTTCTGATAGCACTAGGAAGGGTTGTTTTGCTGGAAGCAATTTTCCACAAAGTGAACCATTCCGTCCATGCAGGTATCACTCCAGCCCACCCACCCCCAGCAGCCTTGCAGATGGACCAAAAAGGTCCAGCTTGGGCTTGAATCAGGGTCACACTAGATCACTATTGCCCATATGTCATGTGACCAGAAAGAAGGAGCTCACACTGGACTGTGTCACAAGCATACATCCCTGCCAGACCACACTCTCGCTGAAATAAATGGTCTTAGGCTGTCCCATTAACTCTGCATGGCCAAGTCAGAATCCAACTCATGAATATGGATAAGCTATAGATATATGACTAAAATTTGACCCAACTCTGGGAGGCAGTGGAAGACAGGAGGGCCTGGTGTGCTGTGGTCCTGGGATCATGAAGTCAGGCACGACTTAATGACTAAACAACAACATATGACTAAAAGAACAAAAAATATTAGCATGATTCTCTTCTGAAGTCTTTGTGGGGGAGGGGGAAGATCTAGATTCTTAATAAAAAGTCTTCACAACTTTCTCCTCTGCATATACTATTAGCTGTGGGTCGGATGGCAATTTTTATATATATTTTAATTGTATTTTAATTGTTCTAAATTGTATTGTATTTTAATTGTTGTAAGCCGCCCAGAGACCTTTGGGTAGTGTGGGCGGCATATAAATTAAATAAATAAATAAATAAAATAAATAAATATTTTTTGATATATGATCATTCTCCATTGTATCTGGCACATGGTCCATGTTAACACTAAAAATATAAAATAATGATACTATACAACACTAGCTAGGAAATAAACACACATAACTATAGAGATGTAGATTAAAGCAGGCTGCTTTTAAAAAATCAACTGATAGTAGTACATAAAGGTGATATTTATGATGTGCCCCAGAAATGAGAAAAGGGTGTACATTCATCTAGTACTTCTCTATAACTTTCTAAAGTTGTGAGAAAATTATGAAAGTGCTGCTCCTAAGTTATTGCTAATATTACATACCTAATAAACCCAATATCATTTTTGTTCTTTCTCCCATCTCTACTGAATTTTCCAAGTTGATCAACAATCCTGAAAACTGGTGAGATTCTTCAAGTTAGTATGAGCGAACAGAGAAAGGGACACTGAAGGAAGAACAGGTCTTGAGGCTACCAAGTGTCAACTCACCCTTCTCTTATTATCTTCTCTGTGTCTTTTGCTACATGGTAATAGCTTATAACATGATCCAAACAGAACAGTGTCTTTTCAACATTCTCTTGTAGGCGCTGAAGATTTACAGTTTGCTTATGTACAGGGATTATTGAATTCTCCAGCTTCATTAGGCGACTTTCAAAGGATGAGAGAATGGAAACCTAAATAACAAACAAAAAATCAGATATAAGAAATGGGAGTAATTTTGCACAGCACAGACAACCTGTATTGTCATCTCTAAGAGGGTGGCTACATTTATTTATTTATTTATTTATATTTATTTATTCAATTTATATGCCGCCCACACTACCCAGAGGTCTCTGGGCGGCTTACAATAATTAAACATTGACCATTGACACTACAATTTACTTCAGATTGGACACAGATAAATTCAAATTAAATTTGGGTGACTATACAACACAAAGCTCAGTATGAGGAAGCCCATTCCACTGTAGAATCATCTTTTTAAAGCAGGGAATCATTTTTGTTGTTGTTCTGTCATCAGGGTTAGTTTAAAATTATTCCAATCAGTTTGGACATCACTTCTATCTGCTTATCCAATGCAAAAGAACACTTATGGAGGTGTCTTTTCCCATCAACCAAACACTCCTTAGGAAACTGCCAATTAGAACTTCTAAGCACCTCAAGGTAGCTTCTGCCTCTGATCCTGCTAACTGTTGCAAATTGGTCTGGATAGCTACAGTTGATTTCACTCAGGGAAACCTGATTTTCATGGGTGAGAATCAAACCATATTTTCCCCACTCTCTACTCACAGATCCATCAAATGAAACAAAACAGTAATTCAAACGTATGTCCCACTTTATGAAAGAGAATGCATGGGTCTTAGAACTTACCATGTTTTTTGTAAGCTGGTCACTTTTTTCCAGACTCTCCCTAATGAAAGAAAGTGTTTCTTCTTCCTGTCGTTGGAAGAAAGGGGGGGAAATCTGACTTATGAAGGGATGGATTTCAAATCTTAATCTTTAAATGCTTACCAGACTTGAATACAATTGTTTCCTCATTTGGTGGTGGTGGAGGTATATGTACTGTATCTATAATAAAAACCAAACCAAACCTAATCCGACTGTCTCTAGTTTTACTCCAAAATTGTTCATTTTTGTAGACATTTGGTGTGCCGAGGAAGCAGATGGCAATTTACAAAAATTGACACTGAAAAAAAATGGTTAGTATTTAATATACCACTACTCTTTTGTTTTTATTTTTGTTATACCTGCTGGTCATCAATAACTCAGGCTGCTCAATCTTCTTCCATCTCCTTCTTTGGTGCTCTTTTTTCCCTATATATCCAATATCCTGCTACCAAAATCATTCAATTCTTTTCACTCTGCTCATGTAATATCTCTTCTAAAAGCCCTGTCCTGGCTTCCTGTCTCCTAAGATCCAGCCCACATTTCTTATCTCCCATAATCTTTCGCTTAATTGCATCTGTCTGTTATTATGTCCCAATATATATTTGCCCAAGATCTTTGTTTCTCTACTTTCCATTGTCTACAAGTTTTCTGCTCCCTCAAATGATCCATCCACTCACACTGTCCTGAATGTTTGGTACCAACTCCCAGAAAACCTGCTCGATGCCACCTGTCCAAATCCCACAACTATAGGTTAAACAAGAGAAACTTGTTATAAACAAATTGCCATCTGTCCTGATTAGAAAGGGGACTCAAATGGTACCAAGTAGCTATCTTAGAGAAGCTCAGTACAGTGGACCCTCTACTTATGGAATTAATTCGTATTGGAACAGTGGCTGCAGGTCAAAATGTCTGTAGGTCGAGTCTCCATTGACCTAAAATGGATTGAAAACCGATTAATCCCGTAACCGGCTGTTTTTGTTCCATTTTTGTTCCATTTTTTGTTTTTTTTCTGGTCTGTAGGTCGATTCTCCGGCTGCAAGTCAAACCTAAATTTTGTGGCCAGAGAAGTCAGTAGCTCGAAAAGTCTGTAAGTCGAGCCGTCTGTAAGTCGAGGGTCCACTGTACTTTTTCTACAGAGGTTTAAAAAGACAATCGGAACCCTGGAAATAAATACATTTAAGCCAGATTCTCTGGCGCCCAACTGCATCACACAGTGGTTTCTCTCAAGAGCATTCAAGTAGGAGTAGATAGCACAGAAAATGAGCAGCAAAATTAGGTTGCTCAGAAAATGGGTGGAAAGATTTTTAAAAACTGAAAGCAAGATATTCTGTGCTAAATATTCCTAGGTGTCAGGGGAACATCCAGACATACTTTTCTCACAAAGAAGAGGCTGGTCTCTGGCTGCTAGGGTATCTCCAAAAGGAGGATGTCAGTGGAGCACCAGAATAGGGTTGCCATCTTTCCTTTCTAGTTGTGTGTTCAGACCACTGTTTGGTCTGCTGCAGTAACAGGCTGGTTCGCTTTTAAATATGCTAATCAGACATGTCTTTGTTGGAACAAACCAAGCCCATCCCGCACTGTTGCCCTATCCATACCTTTCTAAGCCCCTGTTAGGGGCTTCTGCTTTTCTGGTGAGGGTAAGATTGCTCTGGTTTGGATTGGTTCCAGTGCATGTGATCTGATCCAAAGCAAGGCTTCAGGTTTGAACTTGAATCTCATGAAGTGGCTTGATCATTTTTCAAAGGCTGTTTAATAGACCGTTGCTGATAATAGCTTGTTTTTATTTGTTTTTATTTTTTTTAAAAAAAAACATTAATTAAAGCATCTTTTCTTTGCCTCGTCTTAAAGAGCTGTTTAAGAAAATGCCCATCACTGTGGATTCAGCTGCTGACAGTTTCTCAACCAGTCATTCAAGATGAAGCAAAGAAAATATTTTACACAAGCTTAATTTTTTTTTCATTTCCCCTACCAAGGAACACAGGAAGAGTCCAATTTGCCAGTACCCTCAATTGGCTCACTTACTAAGCCACTTCACAATATTGGGAATGAAGGAGCTGAACCAAAGAAGGTAGCTTGAGATATGGCATGCCATTTGGATGAAAGGACTGCACCAAACAGCACATTATACTTCCACTCATGCCCAAACGACCCTATTTAGCCCCCCTACCAGCCTGCCCCAAAAGAGCCCATGTAGTTGCCCCTTTAGCCTGTGCAAGTGTCTCAGACAACCAACCAGTTACGAACGAAGGAGGCAAACACACTGTGGCACCCTCACAACTAAAGTGTTACCTTTCAATGTGAGCTTTCACGGATCAAGCCCCCTTCCTCAGACATTAGTATAAGATTCTCCGATTTATTATACATGGCCTCATGACGAGGTGCATTTCTGGCTCTTATAGCAGCCATTTAATGGGCCAGGATTGATGCAAAAAGTAAATCGTGGGGGGGGGGGAATCCCGATGGTTGGCAGTAACCACTTCCCCCACCCATCCCCTCCAGAGGAGTGACTCCGGATCAAGGATGGCGACCACAGGCGAGGGACACACCTGATCCCCGAAGGAATTGCAGGGATGCCACAGAAAGCCTTAACGGGAGCAAGCAGAAGAATGGCGTGTCACCCACCAAACGAGCCCCACCTGCTTGAGTTTCTCTTCTATTTCCCTCCTCCGGGCAGACGCCTCCTCCGTGGGAATCATCCTGACACCAGAACAGACCCTCCCCGACAAACTCTCAGAGGGAGCTCAGGCCGCCTCCGCTGACACCGCGGCGCCCTTCTGGACGCTGTCAACACCGCCCACCTTTACTTCCGCCTCAAGCCCCGCCCTCTCCGGCACGTCCCCGCCATCTTGAGAGTGGCAGGCGAGGAATTTCTCGGACTTTAAGCTACGAACGGGCGAAGCTCGAGTAAGGCAGAGGAGGAGTGAGGGAAAGAAAACAAAAAAACTGCGCACGCGCACTTTGGACAGCGGAAATCCTTGGCAATGTAAGCGGTCCGGCGAGCTTCGTAGGGAGTCGGAGATCGTCGTCGGTTTATCCGAGCGTAGACATCTCGGGAGGAGGGGGCGTCCTAACATGGGGGGGCGGTGCTTATGGCAACCGCCTGCCCTTCCCCTTGTGGCTCTCAGCTGGCAGGCTTAGTCGTAGCTGAATTTTGAGACTGTTTAAAAAATCATAAGAACAGAGAAAAAGTAACCTTCGATTACCGATTAGGCAACTACCTCATTTATATCGGAATTATACTTGCTTTGAAATAAAACTCATTGCATTCAATGGGATATATTGCTAGATTTAAACTTTGCAGCCTTATTTAATTATTAAATATTTATTTATTTAGTCAACTAGAAAATATTCGAAAATTACAATTAGCTGTATAGCATTTGCTTTCCAGAAGGGCATATTATTACCTACTTTTGATCGTTACCGCACCAGGAATCCCTGCTTTACATTACATGCAAGAAATATTTTCAGTTCCCTTCTGTCAATTGCTTTGAAAATATCTCGGGAATCTGATTCTGAGTTCTCCTTCTGTGGTGTTTTGACCACCAAAAAAACTGTGTCAGGCTAATAGGTTAATTCTACCTACATTTGTTTGAAAATAAGCACCACTGACCCACTTCCACGGACAGGAGTGGAATCCATCCATTTACACACACAATTTCCCTTGAATGTTTGTCTCTTGGAGTTCAGTGGCATTTAATCTCAAATTTAAGGAGTAATCACCTGTAAAAAATACCTACAGATTCTCAGAGGTCTGTGAAAGTAAACAATTGCAAAATAAACATAGGGAGCTGGGTTAGTTTGCTTCTCACAAGGGTAGTACTAATAATTTTCATGCTTTATTTCATACTGTTTATGTTGCATATCTTGATTGCAAAATTGCATAATATCAGAAGGGTGTTAATTACTCTGTAATTTTTAAATTCAGATCTAGACTTTTCAAAGGGATAGTCAGATACATTTGATTCATAGGAAGCCAGTATTTAGAAGGAGTTGAACACTGTGTAACCCTTGCCAAGTAGAGATGGGAATAAGTCCCTTGATATTATCTCTCATTTCAGAAGGTTCACATCAGCACACCTCCCTAAAGAGCTTCCTCTTGACAATTCTTCAGCCGTTGTTTTCTTGAGGTATAAATGCAGAGACTTGCACAAGAGTGATGATGGGAAAGCATATGCATTATCGATAACCTAGAGATTCTGATCACTGAATAAGAAAAAAAAAATTTATTTACCATTATTTACCGTATTTATTTAAAATATGTTTACTACACCTTTCTCCTTTAAAAGGACCGAAGGTGGCTTATATCACAAATAATAGCGCAAAATGTTGTTATAGCTAACAACAGTGAGTATACACAAATACTCAAAAGGATCAGACAAACAGCATACTGAAAAACGGTGAACAAAATCAACACCAAAACACATACAAAGCAGTGTGGTACAGCAAACCATTAAAAAACCCCAGTCAGGCATGCAGTCACTGTGGGAAAGCTTGCCAGCAACATAATGTGACTGAGAAATACATAACATTTAAAATACAACAAGTTTTGTTTCCTTATTACACGGGGGAGGCAGATGCTATGTTACTGGTTTACAAGAATACAGTATGTGTGTTCTTCAAAACGCAATATCCCACCTTCAGCCCGGATGTCTGAGCCGCTAGGTGTCCCTAACGTGCCAGTCTTGAGGGTTGAATGCTTTGTTTGTCTTAACCAGTCTTCAGGCCTTACACTCAAGCCATGTCATCTGTAATTTAATTGGGACATTCCTTTCAGGTAGGGGGCCAGCTATTCCTGATGCAACTCGGATAAAAGTAAATACTACGTCCTGACTGCTAATCCACTTGGCAAACAAAAGTACACACACCACAAAAATGTGCTGGGGAAGTATACTGCCTGGCAGAGAATTCATGGTTCTTTCCTCAACTTGAGGCCTTAGAAGTGAAATGTTCTTCCTGTGTAGTCCTTCCCTATGAAATAAAGGGCATATTTTTACAAGCAGCTTTTTTTGAGGGGGGGGGTACAGTTACACTGTACATACTTAACAGTGGGCAGAGTCTTCAGACACATGGAATCTTGTTAATGGCTTTTTACTATATGTTCCAGCTACCAGAGTGCCATTTTGCGCTATTATTTGTGTCTTTGGGTTTACCAGCCAGAATAATGTCATCTTTATCATGTGGAAGAGTGAGGGAGTTGCCTTGGGGGACAAATTTGGGGAGTCATTTAATCATAACAGGTTGTCAGTCATTTAATGTTATGTTTTTATGTTTCAGTGGGGTTGAAGATTTGATCTTGCACTTCAGGACCTTCATGCCAGGTCAGAATTCCCTGGCAGAAATTTGTGTTAACTCTTCATTTGTACAAACTTCACTAAAAGACATTGCCTCATTGCAGAAAACAGGGCTAAAGCACATTCATATCCCCTTCCATGGTAGTGGTATACAGTGCCCTGCCCTGACCTGATGCCCTCCAGATGTTTGGGCTGTTGTTATGTGCTGCCAAGTTACTTCTGACTTATGGTGACCCTATGGATGAGTGACCTGCAAAATGTTGTGTCCTCAATAACCGTGCTCAGCTTTTGAAAATCAAGACTCTGGAATGAATCCTTTCTGGAACGAATCCATCTCATATTTGGTCTTCCTCTTTTCCTGCAGCCTTTCAACTTTTCCTAGCATTACTGTCTTTTCTAGCAAGTATTTTCTTTTCATTATGTGCCTAAAGTAGGACAGCCTCAGCTCCATCATTTGTGCTTCCAGAGAAGGTCCGGGCTTGATTTTATCTAGGAACCATTTGTTTATTTTTCTGGAGTTCCAGGGTATCTGCAAAGCTCTCTTGCAATATCATATTTCAAATGAATCTATTATTTTTCCTGTCAGTTTTCTTCAATGTCTTGCTCTCCACCCATAAGTAGTAACATGAAATATAATAGTGTTGATGACCTTCACCTCGGTCTCTAGTGATACATCCTTACGCTTGATGATCTTTTCTAATTCCTTTATTGCTGCCCTTCCAAGTCTCTGTCTTTTTCTGATTTCTTGGATACAATCTCCATGATTGAACCAAGGTATACAAAATCTTTAACTTTTTAAATTTCTTCATTGTCAACATTAAAATCATACAGTTGTTCTATAGTCATGATTTTGTCTTCTTACTATTTATCTGAAGCCATGTTTAACATTTTTTCTTTGTGCTACAATTCCCTTAAGTCTCATACAACCTGGACGCTGGTTAGGAATGCTAGATAAAACAGTCCAACATATCTGATGGGTACCAGTTTGGAGAAGGCTAGTAAAGACTGTCCCAGATGCAGATTGGGACACCATTGACACTAGTGAATATAAAGCCCTGTCTACTTTTGTGCCTGAACTGGCACTGTATAACTATCAAATATCTACTAGGCTCATGAACGTCATCTGTTATTGCCCATATCACTACTGAATGACATCTTGCAATCACCTGACTTAGTATTGCCTGCTTTATTTGTTTGACTGCTTTAAAATCAAAGGCAGCAACCTTACATACAGTTTAACTGCATAAATACCACTGAATAGCCAATTATGCACAGAGATGCAGTTTAACATCACAACCCTGTATATTAGGGCAAACTTTTGGGTTGGCTTAATTTCATGAGACTCTCATCCTGATTTCAGAATCAATCTGCAAGCAATAAATCTGGTCTTCAGCAAAAAGTACATTTGTCCCTCACTCCGCTGCTTGCTAGAGAAGGAAGAAAAAGGAGAGAAAGAGAGAGGGGAAAGGATATGGCCCAGTATATCACTTGTTTTGGCCTGTTGCTCAGAAAGTTTACATTTTGGACTACATTGCCAGATAGACAGATAGATAGATAGATAATGCAATCCATTATGACTATACTTAACAATTCAGACAATTACATTTATCAAAAACTTGATAGATAGATAGATAGATAGATAGATAGATAGATAGATAGATAGATAGATAGATAGATAGATAGATAGATAGATAGATAGATAGATAGATAGATAGATAGATAGATAGATAGAAAGACAGAAAGACAGAAAGATAAGATAAGATAAGATAAGATAAGATAAGATAAGATAAGATAAGATAAGATAAGATAAGATAAGATAAGATAGATAGATAAGATAGATAAAATAGATAGATAATGCAATCCATTATGACTATACTTAACAATTCAGACAATTACATTTATCAAAAACTTTTTTTATCCCCTCTCCATTACTCTTTTCCCTTACTTTCAAGTAACGCCTGCAAGAATCACCTCATCTCTGAGTACATGTAGTTTTAAACTATTGGCGTGATTAACTTTTGGCTGAAGTCCACTTCCAGGTCTTCAAGTTAAGCAATTCACACAGCACTACATTCTTCTTCACCACAAATGGACCTTCCCACATTATTTGGGGCTTGCTCCCCCACATTGAAATCACAGTGCTTTGCTTTTGCATTATGGTAAGCTTTTTGTTTGTGTTGCACATCTGCCAGGCTCTCTTTCTAGACACTTCTTGGACTCTTTCAGCTTCTTCTGTAGCTGATTCACAAACTGAGCTACAAAGATGAATCTTTAGCAATCTTTTCCTCTCTTTATTTAACCAAAAAAAGGGGGGGAGTTGCCATGCCTGCTGAATGACAGCCACAGGAAACGGTTAGGAAAAGGGCAGGAAAGGGAGTGCCATTATTCCAAAGAGGGGCAAATTGGGGTGATCCAAAGACTGTCTGGATCCTTCTTATGGGAGAAAAATTGTCAATCAGTGTGGAGAGAGAGACAGCTCAAGCAAGATATAAAATAAATTGCATTAAGATAAGAA